CGACCGGCAGGACCATGAGCCGGTCCATCGACGCGAGGGGCAACTTCCTCGTCTCCCCGCCGAGCCGCTGCGGTCAGGCAGACCTCGAGGGCTGCGTCCTCATCAGCGCGGACGCGAGCAAGGGCTCGCGGAGGTAGCGCCCGACGACTCCGAGCCTCACCAGCCAGCAGAAGCAGGAGCAGCAGCAGCAGGAGGACTGAGAGGGATGCGCAGGACGGGTAGAGGTAGCGGCAGCCCCCCAGGCACGCACGGGCCCGAGCTGAGCCAGCTCCATGTAGTGTATCTAGCGTCAATGAAGTACCAACTCAACCATCTCCTCCCCATGCCTACAGTCTCCGGGCCTTGCTTCTCCTCCTCCCTCTCCCCTCTGCTTACGATCCTCAGCCCGGAGGGGCGATGACGGGCCTCCGCTCATCCAGCGCCTCCTCTGCCATCAATCCCATGCGTTCTCCCTCGTTCTTCTCCCGCCCTCCTCCCGCTCTCCTCCCGCTCTCCTCCGACGCATGTCTCGGACATATCAGCAATTTATTCCTCGCCTACACCTTGCACGTACTCCCTCCTCTACTCTACATCGCCTCCTCTCCTTGTCCTCCCCGCCCACACCGCCTTCCCCCGCCTAGCCGCGATCCTCCTCCTCGCCTCCGTCACTTCGCGCATGAGCTCTGTCCCGTCTGACTGGACGCGCAGAGCCTTGCCGGGCTTGGCGGCGGGGCCCTGGAAAGGGGAAGAAGAGCACATGCACGAAGAGGAGCGATGCAGGGGCCAGCGTGCGTCGCAGTAGGCTTGCTGGGAGGGGGAGAGCTTGAAGACGGGGGCAGGGCGAGAGGAGGAGAAGGAGAGGTCGACGAGGGAGATAGACAAGGAGGAGGGGGGAGGCATGAGCACACAGACGCGGAGGAGCGGGAGGACGAGGAGGAGGGTGAGGCGAAGGATGAGCAAGGGGAGGCAGAGGGGAAGGTATAAAAGGGGCCTGTGGGTTGTATAATAAGGGTCGAATGGTCTAGAAGGATACAAAAACGTCATCATCATCACGCTTGCCTGATCGTGACCGGAGTAACCCTCCCCAGGCGTTGCATTATGAGACCTACACCCGGTATCCGAGATCACTCGGCTCTAAATCAGTCTTGAGGGCAGGACGAGGATACGAGATAGGACTGTGGGCCTTGTGTCAGCTTCGGAGAGCATATCTGCTCTAAAACACTTGTACCGGCTCGACCCGCTTCAAAAGGCTAGATGACCGTATTTGTAACTCCGAGCATATCGCACCTGTCCAGATGGTTCGAACGCAACTCTCCGTGGGGAGTACATGGTTCACTGGTATCCGAGACCACCTCGCTTCAGAGCTTACCAGTCGCAGGCGTTGCCTGTCAAAACGCAGCTCCTCGTCGGGGATACCCCTCCCCAAACGTTGCGTACTGAGACCTTCCCTCCCTACTTTACCCCACAGCCCCTCCCCTCCCTCCCACGCTTCCCTCCTCACTTCCACGACCATCCCC